GGAGACAGCAGCCAAAGCTTCAGCTGGTAGGTGCTCACAGTATGCTTTATTTACACGTGGTAGCGGGAGCCTATCATCTGACTATAGGGCAATGCCTGATTATCATATAGAAAAAACCTGGGGGCAGTTTTATTGCAGGTAACTATGCCAAGGTCATGTTCCAAATAAGGTCAGGCATCCCAGCTTGCAAGCACTTTCCAGATAAGGCAGGCAGGAAGCCTCTGCTGAGAAAGGAGTCGACCTTAACAGCAGGGTTCCCCAAAAGGGATCCTGACAGCAGGTGGGCAGGCTGAAGGAGCCCCACTCCTCTCTCCTCAATGCTGGGTCTCAGGGCCATGGTCTTAGCCCCAAGTGTGTCCCTGATTCAGAGATTCCTGCTCAGGAGGTCAGGGTGATTTTATTTCTCACAATTCCTGGCATGCCTGTGCTGAGTCTAGGGGGTCCAGGGAAAGGAACTGGCTTGGAGAAGGAGAGTCCTTGAGAGGAGAGATGAGCTCATTCACACTGAGGCATGGGTGGCTGATGGCTTGGAGCAGGAGACACTCCAGGTTGGTGTGCTGCTCAGGAGGGTGGACAGAAGGAAACCCTCACAGCCCCGCCCCTCAGCCTGGAGCCTGCCTACCTGCAGGGGAGGAGGGGGAGGTGGAGGAAGAGCCCCAAGGACACCTCTCTGGCTCCAGCAGCTTACCTCAGGTGCACATGCCCCAGTGGGGCAGCACAAGCTGGGAGCAGGAGCTGCTTTGTTTTAGGGGCTCAGTGCAGTCCCAACTGCACCCGTGGGGTGAGGGCAGTGGTCTGACCAGGAGCGCTGCAGGTCTGACGGCCTGGCTGGATGCCTACAATCCACTGATGTGAGCCCACCAGGGCCAGCCGCCAAGGTCACCTGAAAAGCTTGTCCCTGTGCCTCCAATGGCTAGGTCTCCTAGAGTGGGAAGCCACATGCCCCAGCCACTTACCCTGGTTGCCACTCCTGCTGCCCTGAGCCGTGGCTGGGAAGGAGTCTGTGGTCTTGCTGCCTTGCCCCTGACTTTGGGAACTGGCTTGGTCAACCTTCTTGAAATCCAGTTTACATTGAGTGTGTGTCCACCTACTAGGTGTGGTGATCAGTTCACCTAATCCCTCAGCACCTTCTGAGCCCAGGAGGCTGGGCTGGGGGAACGTCCCAGCTCCTAGCCACTGTGTTCCATGGTCCTAACCAGACCTGATATCCTTCAGTAGTTGGACTGCAGCCCAGCCTGCCCTACCGCTGGGCCTTTGTACATGGCAGTCACAGCCTAGGGGGCTTACAAACTTCTGTTACTGGAGTTCTGATTCCAGCAGTTAGGCAGCTCACAATTGTCTGTACCACTAGCTCTAGGGGATCCCACCTCCTCTTCTGGTCTCTGAGCACCTACCACAAGACATAGAGTCACACAGACACAGCCATACACAAAGAAAAAAGGAAAATTGGTTTGCCTGGCCTGAGCTGTATGTGGGCACTTGCCGTCTCCTGGTGCCCCCTGGTGGCCATCATCAAGCACGGTGGAACCCACCTCATTCCTCTCTTCCAGATGGTTCTTCCAGGGCCAACTCGCAGGGGGATATGCCCATCCCTAGAGACTCTAAAGCAGCCCCGTGGAGCTCTGCGGCTGGGTGATGAGGTGCATGGCAGCCAGTGTCCCATGGCTGTTCCAAACACTGCACTGTTACTAAGTTACTTGTGTTAACAGCGGGACAGTGTTTGCTGCCTAGGGGCCTGAGCCCGTTTCCCATGGGTGTAAACTCTTAGCACAGGTTTTATGTGTGTGTTCATGTGTGGTGGTACGTGTATTTGTGAGCATGTGGAGGCCAAAGGCCAACCCACTGTTGTTCCTCAGGTGCTAGCCTCCTTGGCTTTTAAATTTTCACTTCTGAGGGCTGAAGAGATGGTTCAGTGGTTAAGAGCACTGGCTGCTCTGGCAGAGGACTCAGGTTCGATTCCCAGTACCCACATGGTGGCTAACAACTGTCCATAACTCCAGTTCCAGGAGATCCAACACCCTCTTCTGGCCTCCAAGGGCACTGCATGACATGGGTGCACTTACATACATGCAGGCAATACACCTAGACACATAAAAATAAACTGAAAAAAAATGTACTTATGACATTTTCTTGGGAGGGGCGTACGTGCCACAACACACGTATGGAGACCAGAAGACAACTGGCTGGACCTGGTTCTCTCCTTCTATTATGTGGCTCCTAGGGCTCAAACTCCGGTTGTCAGTCTTGGTGACAAGCGCCTTTCCCTACTGAGGCATTGTGGTGGATTCTTGGTTTTGAGATGTTGTTTCCTACTGGCCTGGAGCTCACCAAATAGGCTAGGCTGCCGGCCTGTGCCACCACGCCTGGGGATCAAGCTCAGCTCCTTATACTTAAGGCAAGTGCTTTACTGACTGAGCCAGCTCCCCTGCCCAGGTCACACACTTTCAAGTAGCCATACAGTCCCAAGGACATGCGACCTCCTTCCTGAGGAACAGCATGTAGAATGCAACCCTCAGCCCCACAATGGGGCACGTCAGAAAGCTCGAAGCCTGTTTCCCTGAGAAATTCCACCTTCGCCATGCCACCTCTCAGGGAACAAGGCGCTGATTTCCTGAACACAAAGGTCGTTGGACAGAGACTCCGCAAGAGGCTGTCAGGTGCCTGGGTTCTATTCCCTGACACACACGAGAGGGACAGTTTACTCTGGGAAGATTCTGGAATCTGGGGTCACCCCCATTCCCATGGTGCCCTGCACCAGGGCGCGAGGAAGAGGCTCCAGTGAAAACCAGAGAGAGTGGAGAAACAGGGCACCACCAGTCACGGGAAACTCAGGACAAAGACAATGCTGGGTGCCACCCTCCACCTCTACCACAGACCTGTCATGCGGCACAGAGGGTCACAGGCTCCTGGCCCTGAAAGCCGTCCCAAGCCTGGCTGACACGGGGTATATGCCTGCAACCCAGCACTCAGGAGGTGAGGTTTCCCCAGTGGCTTTGGCCACTTACTTGGTCCCTATTCATCTTTCCATCACAGTCCTTGCCTCTATATGGTGAGGACTCCGAACATCCTAGGAGGGACACAGACAGGGTCACAGCTGAACTCTGCAGGCCAGAAGCTGCATCCGCAGGCATCCTGTGTCTGTGCCCGTTCAGAAGGGGCATTCTGGGTCCCTTCTAATGCAGATTTGTTTTAAGATTTATTTTTAGCCGGGTGTAGTTTACCGCTACAACAACAAAAAACTTATTTTAAGGGTTGGAGAGATGGCTCAGAGGTTAAGAACACTGACTGTTCTTGCAGAAGACCTAGGTTTGAATCCCAGCACCACATGGTGGCTAACAACTGTTGATAACTCCAGTTTCAGGGGAATCTACACTTCTGACCTTCTCGGGCATTGCACCACATGGGTGCACTTTCATACATGCAGGCATAACACTCATACACATAAAATAAAAATAATATTAAAAATAAAAATTTTTAAAAAGATTTATTTTTAGCCAGGTGTGCTGGCATATACCTTTAATTCCATCACTTGGAAGGCAGAGGCAAGTGGATCTCTGTGAGTTCAAGGCCAGCTAGGGATACAGGGAGACCCTGTCCCAAAAAGACCAAAAAAAAAAAAAAAAAAAAAAAAAAAAAAAAGACAAAACAAAACAAAAAATACTTACTTTATTCCTTATGTATGTCCATGTGTGTGCCATATGGATGTGGGTGCCTGTGGAGGGGGGGATGTTGGAGCCTCTGGGGCTGGAGTGACAGGTTACAGTATGGTTGTGAACTTTCTGATGTGGGTGCTGGGATCTGAACTGGGGTTGGTAAGTGATCTTAACCACCGAGCCAACTTTCTAACCCCAACAAAGCTTTAAAAATTAAGCTGTGAAGCTGGAGAGATGGCTCAGCGGTTCTTGCAGAAGACCTGGATTCGAATCCCAGCACCCACATGGCAGCTAACAGTTGTCCATAGCTCCCGCCCCAGGGGATCTGATAGCCTCCTCTGTCCGCGGGCATTGCATGACATAGGTACATTTACCTACATGCAGACAATACACACATATGCATAAAATAAAAAATAAAATTAATTTTAAAAAAAGTTTAAAAATTAAGCTGTAAGGTGCTGAGCACAGTGGTGCATGCCTGTCATCCTGGCATTTGGGAGGGTGAGGCAGGAGGATCTCAAGGTCAAGGCCACCTTGGGCAACTTAGACTCTGCCATGAAAAAAAATTCTCTATCATGGGAGATTTGTTTTTTTGTTTTTGTTTTTTTGGTTTTTTTTTTGGTCTTTTTGAGAACTCACTATGTAGACCAGGCTGGCCTTGAACTCACAGAGATCCGCCTGCCTCTGCCTCCCGAGTGCTGGGATTAAAAGGCGTGTGCCACCAACACCTGGCTGGGAGATTTGTTTTTAAAGTGTTTGATTTATTTTCATTTTATTTGTATGAGTGTTCTGCCTGCATGTATGTAAGTGCACCTGTTTTGTGCAGGTGCCCATGGAAGCCAGAAAGAGGGTGTCAGATCCCCTGGAACTAGAGTTACAGATGGTTGCTAGCTGCCATACGGGTGCTGGGAACTGAACCCAGGTCCTCTGCAAGAGCAGCCGGTGCTCCTAACCGCTGACTGTCTCTCCAATTCCCATGGAGAGATTTTAATAGTGTTGCTTGTGACAAAATGAGACTCTGTGGCCTCAAATTCACAGCAACCGTCTTGCCTCAGCCTTGCAGGGGCTGGGATGACAGGCATGAGCTGTGGTACCCAGCTTCAGATTACATTTTAAAGTGCACTAAAATTCTCTAAGGCTATTTTGGAGAAAGTTAGGACTCAGTAAAATCCCAGAGAGGGAGCAACAGTGGGCAGGTTGGAACCTGGGACTTGTGTCTAGATGGGCACATCCCATATCACAGGTGCACAGCAGTGGGTTTTAGAGACTAAGGACGGGGGCCGTGAACCCAGGCCGGCCACCCACTGCCACACACTGACAGGAAGAATGGGGCTGCAGAAAGAGGGGTGAGCACTGTGGACGGGCCACTTTATTTCATATAAAATCACACTGAGCAGTTGAAAAGTCAAGTATGCTCGGCTTGCACTCACCGAGTCACGGCCTCCGTCCCTGGAGGATGACCGCTATGAACGGTTCCACAACCGAGACCCAGACACACGTGCAAATGAACGCGCACCACGATCGCTGCGGCCCACGCACACGGCTGGTCCCTCTGCAGTGACTCGGGTCCCATGGCTCAAGGGCCAGGCTCAGAGGCCCTGGGATCTACCTTGGTAGCACAGGAGCCCAGGTGAGGGCAGAGAACAAGCGACTGACACTAACGGCACAGTCCCAGTGTCACAGGGACAGAAAGGCAGCTGGTCCCAGTAGGGACACACCACTGTCTCAGCATGGGGTTGGACTCACTGGAAGTTCCCAGCCTCCGTCAAACTGCTTTCGCACAGCAGCAAAGGAATAATCCGGAAGTTTAAGGCAAGTTCCCTGGAGGGGGAGCTGTTTGCATTCTGACATAATTCTAAGCTCACACCAAGGGTCCACTCTGACCACCTGCTGTGGGTAGAGAAACAAAATTGAAAGCCATCATGCCACTGGACAGCTCAGGCCCCAGACTGCCCCAGGCCTCCTCACCCTGCTGTACCCACTGGGGAGTCCCAGGCAAGCCCAGCAAGGCCCACAGCATGAGGCCACCTCCTTCCTGGCTGAGGGAGGTTACACACTGCGAATTTGGCTGGAACCAAACCTCAGTTCCAAGTCCTCAAGTACTCTGGATCTTAAAGTACACAAGAGCAGGAGGCCGGGCCCCGCACAGGAAGGACTGCTCTTTGGATCTGGACACTGTATCAATACATTCATAGGACCCTGGTCAGGGCCCAGCAGTGTGCCCCATTTCCCTGAAATGTCAGATCTGATAGCCTGTCTGCTACACACAGTCGCCTGAACAACGCTGCCAATTTTGACACATGCACGCACACACAGACACACACAAGATGGGTGCACACAGACTTGCTGGAAGGGTCAAAGGTGCCCGTTCCCGGACAGCAGGGATGTTCCCGGAGCCGCCTCCACTGTTCAGTGCATGGAATCTTTGCAACATCAGTGCTAAGTGTCAGAGCCCACCAAGGCCACAGAGTCTCTATGAAACTCCTCTGGTCAGGGAGTGTGCTGGGGGCGGCTGGCAGGACTCCTGGCAGCCCTGCTCAGGGAATTCGACCCACGTGCTGCCGACCTTCATGACTGAGAAAGCAGCTCCATTCCCAGCCGCTCACAACCCACACGGCGTCCCAAAGTCAGGACGGCGGGCTGCCCTCCTGTGGCCGTGGGCTTCTCCTGGCAGTACAGTTGAAGACTGACGCGAGTGCCCTGTGGCCCAAGGTCCAGGAAGCTGCTCACGGCAGTAGCGGCCGAGCGGCTCCACCTGCCCACGAGGCTGCTGCCCTCGCAGGCCAGAGCAACGAGACGTCCACAGACACTCCGGGTCTGGAGGGCTCATACAGAGAACTCGGGACCTCCTTTCCTGGACCTCATCTGCAGTCGCCTGAATCGGAAGCCAACAAAGGGGTTCATCCAGAGGAGTGAGGGGGGCCCCCCAAAGACAGACTTCATCCCTTCCCACCGCAGCCTTCGCTCCCACGTGGGCTTCTCACTCTTCAGTCTCTCAATCTCCTGGAAACAGAAGGAAAAGCCGCTGGGCAGCAGTTCCAGGACCCCCCCCGCCCCACGTCAGGCCCAGTGCCAAAGACAGGAGTCAGCATCAAGCCTCAGTACCTGTGTCATTTGAAAACATGGCTTCAAGGAGGTAGGCACTGTGGGCTCTCCCTCCTGCTGTGACCCTGCCCTGACATGCACAGCCAGGCTGCGGCTGTCTGCATGGACCAATAGCTATGGCTGCTGACAGCCACAATGGCCCCTGAACAGCGGATCAGCACTTTTCTTCACTATTCCCTGAAAGTACTTACTGGGCACCTGCACTAGTCCCACAAGGGCAAGAGGGCCATCCAATCTCTGAGCCCCACTGAGCTGCTCAGGATTGCCTGCGTATCTCTACTGACACAAATCAACTCTGGGTCTGAAAACTGCAGTGCCATCAGGAGTGGCAAGTACTGGCTCTCTGGAGCCCCAAGGGGGCCTGAGACTTCGAGTCTGTGCACTCTGTCCACTGATGACTGCACCGTTCCCCCATCTCACACACGCGGACGCAGGACAAGTCTCACCGTCTCGTCGTTGCATATCGAGTGGATCTGGGTGCCAAACATAACTGCAGTGAAGGTGAAAAACAGAAGCCCCTCAAGGCACAAGAAGATCAACAGGATCACAGTTATTGGAGGCGAAAAGTCACTGCACTCTGCGGACAAGAGCGAGGGGACAGGGTGACTGGTCGGCACACTACTGCACCCAGGCTGCAGGGAGCCCAGCTCCCAGGAGTCTTCTGGCACCTGCAGTCAGCTTCCTGGAAGGAATGTGCTCCCATTGCACACAGGCGCATTCAAGTTCTCCAACAAACTGGCACAGGGCCCTGCCCAGTCCCCAGCCCTGTCTGGCAACCACCCCCAACACACCCCTTCCCAGACCGCAGTTTCAAAAGTTCACCTTCCTAAAGTTTCTTTGGCTTTTTACAGTACTGGGGATGGTACCCAGGTGCAATGCCAGGCAAGCACTCTACCCCTGAGCTGCATCCTCAGCCCTCTTTTCACTTTTTGAGACAGGGTTTCACTAAATTGCCCAGGCTGGCCTTGACCTTGTAATCTTTCTGCCTCAGCCACCTGAGTAGCTGCACCTGGTTTCCCTGAGGTTGTCACTGCATTGTGTCTGCATAGGAGGCTCCTGTGTCCCACTCAACTGTCTGTACTTACAAGTCACTTTCCCAGGACTTCATCCCCCACCTGCATTTCTGCAGCTGCTCAGTCCAGACCTGCTGGGACTACACCTGCCTGGACTACACCTGCCGGGACTACACCTGCCGGGACTACACCTGCCGGGACTACACCTGCCGGGACTACACCTGCCGGGACTACACCTGCCGGGACTACACCTGCCGGGACTACACCTGCCGGGACTACACCTGCCTGGACTACACCTGCTGGGACACCTCACCAGACTACATCGAGACAGCTGTGAACAGTGGTCAGCTGTGCTAACCAGACACAAGGTTGGTAGGAAAAACAGTAATCGCCCTCTACTGGGTGTAGAGCTCCCAACTGTCATCTAAGTACTCTGGAAGCTGAGGTAGAAGGATTGTCCATTGGGAGTTCAAGGCCAAGGCCAACCTAGGCTATAAAGTTAACTCCTGGGGATGGAAAAATAGCTCAGCAGTTAATATCACTGGCTTCTGTTGTAGAGGACCTGAGTTCAGTTCTCAGCACCCACACAGCAACTAACCATCTGTAACTCCAGTCCCAGGGGATCCAACGCCCTCTTTTCACCTTTGCAGGCATTACACATATATGCAGGCAAAATACTCTTACACATAAAATATAAATAAGAAAGAAACAAACAAAAAACAAAGTTAGACCCTGTCTCAAAAAAATTCTACTAACCAGCAAGCAAAACCCCAGTTTTCAACAGTAGGATTTCCTGCAAAACGGGACGTGCGACTCTCCCTTTGGAGCCCCTCCACCCTGCAAGTGCTTTCAGGAATGACATATGCCTCACTTACCTGTCCACTGCCCTCGGACACAGGAGATGAACTGAAGCCCACAGAGAATCAGAGCATGGATTGAAGACAGAGCTATGTACATCTGGAAGGAGGGAAAAGGGTTAGCCACTGTTTGACAGGCTGCTGTCCTGTGAGCAGAGGCTGCTGGGCACCATGCTCACCCCACACTTCCTGCAGAAGGAGCACACGGAGGGGAGAGTGAACTGTAATCACTGGCCCCCACCCACCCACATTCACATCAGACCAAGTCAACAGTGCACAGAGATAAGGAGTAGGAAGGGGCCCTGCCTCCAGGGAGAGGCCTGCGAACACTGACTGAAGGGACAGGGAGAGGCCAACCCCTACCAGGGAGGTAGCACAGCAGCTGTCGTCGCTGGGCACTTCCTGCCCGTGCAGCACAGCCACCAGCTCTGCGTAGGCAGGGGAACCGGTGTGGCTGTAACATCTCCCAGCTCTAGCAAGGTCCCAGTTAAAGCATTTCTAGTTCGGCATAAGCACTACCCAAAAATTTTCTTACAGTGAAGAGCACAAAAAACCTCTGATTCTTCTCTCCCACGCAGTTGTTCACCCACGGGCAGTGATGGTCCATTTTCCGAATACATCTTTTGCAAATACTGCGAGGGAAAGAATGATTTCAGTCCCCGTGCTCTGGGGAAAACACCATGACAGCACCAATGAAATCAAAGGTGGGAAGAGGCTAGCCCAGATCCCGTCCACGGCACACGGCCATCTGCAGCGAGGGCTGCTCTCCTCTGCATGGTCTCTGATGTACAAAGAAAAGCATCCCAGGCACACAGGTACAGAGCCAGCATCACGCTCAACAGTTAAGTTTCCAGATTCTCCCAGGGAGACTGCATCGTGCATGCCCTACTGAAGATGCGCACTGTTCAAGCATACAAGTTCTAAGTCTAGTTCAGTTACAACCTCAAACTGAACTAAAGTCAGGGAAAGTCAGGCATGCCGGCATGTGCCTATAACCCCAGCACTCGGGAAGCTGAGGCAGGAGGATTTAGAGTTTGAAGCCAGCATAGGCTAACTAGGGAGACCCTGTCCCAAAATAACAAATTCAGGGAAAGAAAAATTCCTGGACCTTCAAATGATTCTACCATTCAATCTGCTCTGCCGTCTGAGATCTCTGTTGGCGATCTGTAATCAGCTCTGTTTCTGAAACGGCTTTCTGCACTGAATGCACCCAGCAGGCACTGAGTCAACTGTCCTGGGTTCCGCTGGACTCTAACTGTACCACTCTGTTCAGTCTCTCTGCCTGACCGCACCTCCCCATGTGCACCTGCTAATCCAATGGCTTCCAAAGCACTCCCAGCTCATCTATTTTTTCAAGCAGTAAACAAGCGGTGCCCTGTCGCTTCCTTTGACTGCCGTTCCACCCGTCTCCTGCGGCAGGAGAGGATCCCAAGGTCTGCACTGTGCGAAAACGCCTGTAGGACTGCAGGCACTGAGGGGGCCTTGGCCGGGGAGCCCTGGGAGGACTGGGGGAGAGCTGAGGCCATACCTGCAGTGATGGGCACGCTCTGGCTTGATGCAGCAGCACTTGGGGCACTTGTAGATCACCTCGCCAGGCTTCAGCTGCAGGGCCTCCATGTGCTCCTTCGTGGCGTTCCCTTTGGGGACGGCCCCCTATGCTCACAAAAACAAAATGAGGCTTGGCATGGTGCTTCATGCTCATCATCCCAGGACGTCAGAGGCAGAGGTGGTAAAGACAAGTCTGAGGCCAGCCTGGTCTATATCATAAGTTCCAGGCTAGCCAAGGCTACATAGTGAGACCTTGTCTCATATCCCCAGCCAAAAAATAATAACAATAATAACAATAAACTCAGGTGTGGCAGTGCATACCTATAATCCCAGCACCAGGAGGCAAATGCTGGAGGATCACTGAGTTGGAGGCCAGCCTGGGCCGCAGAGTGAAAGCCTGTTTCGGGAAAACAAAGATTTCTGAAAGCCCAAACTCATCCAGGAAGGGATTTAGATGGCCAGAGATCCCACAAACACATCAGGTCACTGGCAGACTCTGTACTGAGTCTGTCCCCGAGTACCAAATACCACTCCAGCTGCCCGCTGGGTGGGGTCTCTGACACAGCTCTGTTCTCACAGGCTGCCAAGGCCACTGCGAGTCAGTCAGAGAGAAAGCAAAGGCACGCCATGGATCCCCACACCACAGGGGCAGCCTGTGAGGCTGGGCCACCCGGCTCAGTCTCAGAAGGTGGCTTCAGCTTATAAGAAGCCGCACAGCCAGCACTGATCTCTTGGCATCTTCCTGGGAGAGAAATGGGAGAGAGGAGGCCAGTCAACTTGCACACAGACCAGGAGTCCCTGTGCCATAGCTGCAGCCAGTGCTGTAGAGCAGCAGAGAGCCTCCCAGGAAGGCACACCGTGTGGCCCTGTCCACTGCAATGTGACTGCTGCCTGTGGGGGGACTCTCACAGGCCTTCAGGCTGCTCTTGCCGGAGGAAGCCCTGGTCACCTCCCCTGGCTCTGGAGCAGCCTGGAGGTGACAGATGCCTGAGTCACAAGAGCGTCTCAAGCTTCTGAGCGGCAGCTTTACCTGACCCGAAGCTCTGACCTGGGCCTTTACAGCATCAGGAACTAAGGGGGTTCAAGGTGCAGGTGCCTCTGCTCACAACCTAATGGGACTCTCTTCCAGTCAGGGGCCGGATGCTCTTCATGCTGCACACCTGTGCTAACGTGGCTGCGTGCTGTTCCTTGACCGCACACTGCAGGAGTTCCCCCACAGCCAAAGCCCCACCTGTGACACCAGACTCCTCCTCTGGCTGGCTATAGCCAGCTGACACACAGAGAAAGAACGAGATGATGCCTCCCCTCTAGCCCAAGAAGCCACATCAGCTGCCTGTGGTGAAGGGCACCTGTGAAGACTAGCCATGCGGACACACAGAGAACAGGGCCCTGGCCCCCATCCACACCTCAGACAAAATACACCAGGAGGAACTGACCAGCTGTCTACAGGAGGCCGAAATGGGATCACTCGAGCCCAGGGGTCAGAGGGCCAGAAAGAGTAACACAGAGGCCTGACCTTTAAAAGCTGAACAATCGCCCATTTGAATAATTCCTTCCATCAGCATAACATGGTACTGCTTGTTATTTAAGCAACGCTTGCCCTCCCCCAAGACATGCAAATATCAAGCCTGCATCTAGGCCTATAAAAACTGGGGTACAGACCCCAGTGCCCTCTGGCAGCGCCCGCATACTCACAGGGTCAGTGAGCATGGTTCTCAGGTGGGACGACAGTGCAAGGACCGCCAAGCAGTTGAAGAGGACTCCGTTCACCACGGAGTACCAGAAGTCTCTGGAAGGCAGCAGCATGACAAAGGTCACCACAAAGTCTGCGTAGACGACCAGCAGCCAGGTCATGACGGCACAGACCATGCCACAACCATCACGGATGAACCACACCCTATCTGCCATGTCGGCCTCAGAGGATGAGGAGGACCCAGAGTCATAATTGTCATTGTTGGTCAGGAGAGGATGGTGCTCGATGTCCCGGAGCCTGTGTCCTGACGGCTGCATGATTCCCTGATGCACCCTGGAGTGGGCGAGAGCTAGTGAGGCACACGCAACACACACACAGCTCAAATGTACTGAGGACAGGAATACAACACTGAACTAGTAGAGCTACATTTCCACACCCTTCTGCTCACAGTCTTGCTGGTGTGACTCCATGACCCCCACACAGCATCTGCCTGTGGATGCAACACTGTCACCTATTATAGAAAAGGTAAAGACAGCTGGGCATGGTGGCACATGTCCTTAATCCCAGCACTCGGGAGGCAGAGGCAGGCAGATCTCTGTGAGTTCAAGGCCAGCCTGGTCTACATAGTGAGTTCCAGGACAGCTGGGGCTACAGGGAGACAAAGAAAGAAAGAAAGAAAGAAAGAAAGAAAGGGAGAGAGAAAGAGAGAGAGAGAGAAACAAAGAAAGAAAGAAAGAAAAGAAAGAAAGAAAGAAAAGAAAGAAAGAAAGAAAGAAAGAAAGAAAGAAAGAAAGAAAGAAAGAAAGAAAGGGTAAAGAGAGAGGCAAGCTGCATAGAATCACAGCACCCAGGTGCCCAGCACAGCAGAGAGGACCCTATCGGACCCTGCTGTCCAATGGCCTCACCTGTCAGAGCACTTTACCCAGCAGCCCTGCCTGGTGTGGAGGCTCAACATGGGCATCACCAGGGCACAGGAGAAGCAGCAGCATGGAACGATGTCCCTCCCCACGCCCAGGGCCAGCTCACCACGCTCTGCTCCTGCCTGCCATCTCTTCACAGCGTCCTCATTTCTCCCCAGGTTAATGTGGGGGATGGGGGACCTCTTTTGTGGCAGGCTCCTGTTTCACATCCACATTCCTCAACTCACAAGCTGTTTCTAGAATACCCTTTATTTTTTTGACCTTCATCAAGTCTCCTCTGTTCAAGAGTCATGCCTTTGACACCTTTCCTTATTTTCTCTGGCATCCAACTGCCAAGAACACATGGGATCAAAGAAACTAGAGAGCCCAGCTCCTCGAGCCGGAGCCACTCTGACGGCTGCCCTGACCCATGTCCTTCTCTTATCATGTTTGCTGAGGGTGGACACATTTGTGGCAAGCACGGCAAGGAGAGGGAGAGTCCAAGCTCTGTCCTGGCCACTCACAGGGAGAGGACATGCCGACCCGACGGGCACGACAGTGGGCCCTTTCCAGGCCAAGAACTCAGTGCCTCACACAGAGGTGGAACACACAGGCCTGTGGCCTCCATGCAGCGGGGTGAGGAGCTCTCACCGTCCTGCTGATTAGCAGCAGCTTTTCCAGTCTGGACATGGCTTTTCTTCTTTCTTTCTTTTTTTTTTTTTTTGGTCTTTTTGAGACAGGTCCTCCCTGTAGCCCCAATTGGCCTGGAGCTCACTGTGTAGACCAGGCTGGCCTTGAACTCACAGAGATCCACCTGCCTCTGCCTCCCAAGTGCTATGGCTTTTTTTCTTAAGTGGAACACAGCAGTTGTGAAGAAGCATTCATTGAATGACCCTGGTGACAGAGTGCACACTCTGAACCCTTTGAAGAACTAAGTACATCAGCCCTGCCTGCCTGGTGTTAGCCCATTGGAGAAGTGTCCCGTCTGTGACAGGGCATCTGCACACAAGAGTCATTTGCTGAAAGGCAGATGTGACAGGAAGGGACCCTTTCTCAGACCCAACACTCTACTGTGATTCCTAGCTTCTTAAATGAATTGAAGTGGGCCCAGAGACATCAAGGTCCCAAGCTAAAGAGCTCCCCAAGCCAGAACCCCTCTGTTTTCTGGTTCCCTCTGCAGAATACGCTTTGTGAGAAAGAGCCTGGCTGACTAGGGTCAAAGTTCCAAGTCTGCAGCCTGAGGTCTACCCAGTCTTAAGGGTGCACAGCTACAACTGGTTGCAGCCCTGCTGAGCTTCCTGGCTCTGGGCCATGAGAGCTGGCAGGGTGAAGATGTGGCCTGGGGAGGTACGCTCTTTCTGGGCACAGGTGCCAGGGGCTATTTGTAGAAGAACTCATTTCCAAACACAGCTAAGGTTAGGACAGTCTTAGATGTGCATATCAGACTAGCGATGTGACATGTGACACTGTGTCTCTAAAATCCACTGGATTTTTAAAAAGGGGAAGTAAGTGGAGATCCAGATGTCGCTTCGTTTTCTTTCTTTCTTTGTTTGAGACAGGGTCTCAGATAACCCAGCTGGCCTCAAATTCTCTATGCAGCCGAGGCTGTCCTTCTCCTCCTGATCCTCTGCCTTCTCCTGTCAAGTGCTAGGAAGACAGGCGTGTGCTGTCCCACCGGCATAGAATCACTTCATTTTCAAGAAGGCAGTGGATGAACACAGCGGGACATCGGCTGGCTGTGACAGTGTGACCCACTCGCTGAGTCACTGTGCAGACTTCATCAGTGCCACAGAAAGGGAGGGGAGGAAATGAAGAAACCGTTCCTTATGCCCAGAGCATTTGGCTGGGCCATGTGCCCCGTCACAGGAATGCCCCCTGTCACACGAATGCACTGTCACCCCAATGCGCAGGTGACACGGGCACACACACTTATCAGTGCAAAGTGCAGGTGTCAGGCTCCTGATGATTACTTCTGGGACAGCCCTGAGAACACCCATGACTGGCTAAAAGCAGTTTCGTCTTCCACACCAGCCGTGTTAATGGGGTCTGTCTACTCCTGAACCTTCACCCCACACTGAATAAAGGTCTCCAACCTCACTCTATGTAAAGCCCCAAATCCTTCCCAGGACACCAAAACCAGTGTCACAGACCCCACCAGCCCCAGTGACAACTGTATTAGCTGCACTTTCCAGCTTGTACCTGGCACTGCTCCTGTCTTTCGATAGCTGCCAAGGGCCAAGGACCCGATCGGCAGACACACTCCTAGCAGGGCCGCTGGTGCACAGAGACAGGTACAAGGGGGCTCAGCCTGTAGCCCTAGGGCTGCTTCTGCGTTTGACCATGCGCGCCCGTCACCTGTTCCACAAGCCACAGCTGGCTCAGCTGGGGGAGGAAACTGTTCACCAGATCAAGAGTCACAGTGTGAGCATGGTAGCTTGTGCCTGTAATCCCAATACTTGGGACTGAGGCAGGATGATGATCTAAGCTAGAGTGACCGTGTCACACACCCACCAGCCACACACTTACCTCACAAACTGCTTCTAAGCATCGCGGAGCACTTGCGCCTTTTGTTTAGCACCTTACGGTACATTCTGTCCCACGTGATAGGATCTGAAAGATAACGAAACCCGATTACAAGTCATTCACTGTGCTGAGCTTTGATCACTAGTAAATTAACAGCCTTGGAAATGAAGTTATCTTATTGTTTTCCTTTTTTGAGACAAGATATCATTAGGTTTCCCAGGCTAGCCTCCAAGTCATGGGCTCGAGTGATCAGCCACAGGACCCCCAGCAGCGAGGGGGCACAGCAGACTACTGCATCCAACAGTGACTGACTTTTAGTTCACCACTTTACCTCCCCGCACTTTACCAACATGCTAACTACAAATCCAGAAAGGCCACACGGATAACCCAGGCCACACCTGGCTAACCTGTGTCTACCAAGTACCTCTGTTACCCTGCCAAGGACAAGGGGTGGGGACAGTGCACAGAGGTATCAGTGAGAGCTCCAGGCCCCGCTGGAAGGGAAATGCCAGGTCTGAGTGAGGGCCACCTGCTGAGAGAGAGAGAGAGAGAGAGAGAGAGAGAGAGAGAGAGAGAGAGAGAGAGAGAATATACCTCCGTGCTCATCTCCATGGGCTCCCTGAACCCTGGCAAGCCAGGGGAGTAAATGTATTCAAATATCTACAGAATAGCCAGCAACCCTGAATGTTTAATAAATGGCTTTCTAACATGCTTATCTTAGTAATGTTTAAGAATCTAAAGCAAACTTGCAACACAGCAATAACCACCGCAGCCACCAAGTCTACAGCCAAATTCCCGAGACCAGATCCTCAGGTATGTTTATAAAGGGAGAAAAAGGAGCCAACACAAGACCCCTATGAGAGCGGCCTGGCCCTCCAAGCCACATGCCCACCCAGTGATGCGGCAGCCCCACCCCACCCTCCTGTTCACAGGAGAAAAATGACTGAATACCGCATAAAGCCGGGCCTGGTGGTGCACACCTTTAATCCCAGTATTCTGGAGGCAGGGGCAGGTGATCTCTGTGAGTTAGAGGCCAGCCTGGTCTACACAGTGAGTTCCAGGCCAGCTGGGGCTATAGGGAGACCCTGTCTCAACCCCCACCCCCCCAAAAAACCTACATGAGGGGCTGGGGAGGTGGTGGCTCAGCAGTTAAGAGCACCGGCCGCTCTTTCAGAGGGCCCAGGTTCAGTTCCCAGCACCCACACGGCAGCCGACTACCATCCCTAACTCCAGTTCCAGGGGATCCGACGCCCTCTCCTGACCTCCACGGGCTTTGCACAACACGGGTACACTTACATACACGCAGGCAATTCACTCATACACATAAAATAGAAAATAAATAAAAATAAAAAATAAACCCTCCACGAAGTAAAGGCCAGACACAGAGGACTGTGTGGAGGACTCCACCTGTGGAGGAGTGAGTGTGATTCTACTCATGGACTCAAGTAGGGAAAGGGATTCCGAAGAAACCAGAACAGGTTGGAGCACAAAGAGAAAAGGACCAGAGGCCAACTCTGCCCCTGGGCTGATGGAAACACTGATCTGACGGGGATGCAGGTGACACGGGTACACATATTTATCAGCACAAAACTCACTAAGGAGCCCAGTGTGGTGGCACACGGTATAATCCCAGCACTCAGGCCAGCTGCCTGGAGTATGAGGCCAGCCTGGGCTATACAGCAAGACCTTGTCTCAAAACAAAGCAAAACAAAACTTCAGCAAGCAGTTTTAAACAAACCGACTGTTCACTTTATGCATTTTCCTGTGTATCTTTCAGGCCTCAGTGAGAAAAGGAGCCAAGGTAAAATGCTCAGTGGAGGGAGAGAGACAGGGGTGGAGGCCAAAGGTGCAGCCCAAGCCAAGTCTTGGCCAGCTGCCACTGTGAGCTGAGGCTGCCTTAGATTTACTGTGCTGTGACTTCAGGCTCCATGGCTATAGGCAGAGGGACCGTGAAAGACACAATCTGTTGGTGACTGGTTACTCTTAAAGAGTCAGAATGTGACATGCCCCCACACTGCAGAGCTCAGAGCACCGCCCTGGACATGCCCCAGTCTGTGCTGAAATGCTGGAAAGCTCCTAGCTGCTTTAGGGTACACCCCCACGGTGCCCTGTGAAAACAGAAAGCAGCGGATCGCTGCACAGACAGACGAACGCACTGTATGACCAGAGCTGGGGATCTAAGCACCAGGCTCTATAAGGCCAGGGAATGTGAGCCAAGAGCAGAGCTTCATCCACAGGAGTTCACACATCTGCAAGGTGGAGATGGGCCTTGCAACAAAATGCCAGAAGTTCCCAAACCAAGAGCCATGGGAGTTGGAGAGAGATGGGGATGGCAGGCAGAGCCAAGCAGACAGGAGAAAACAGAGAGCACAGGGCCAGGAAGGGGGCGGCAGAGAGAAGGAGCCATGACAGGAGCACGGGACTGGGGCCGCAAAGCCGTCCTCTGCTGGCCTTGCCCGGGAGTCTGGAAACCTCATTCTGCTGGCGTGGCAGACACCAGAACTCAGGTAAGAGGAGAGCCGCTTTAAGGCCAGAGCTACACTCAGTGGCACAAGTGGAAGTCCTGGGTTTCATGCCCAGCACTGCAAAAGAAATTAACACAGCAAGTGGTGTAACGGGTGTCAAGGCAAGGCCAGGGCAAGACCAGGCCGGCACAGGATTACTACTCAGGCAGAGTAAAAACACAGATCAAAAGCAACTCAGGGAGTAAAGGGTTTACTTGGCTTACAGCTCACAGTCCATCATCAAGGGAGGCCAGGGCAGGAACTCAGGGCAGGAACCTGGAGCAGGGGCTGGCGCGCAGACCATGGAAGAGTGCTGCTCACTGGCTTGCTCTCCGGCCTGTGCTCACTCTGCTTTCTCATACAATCCTGGGGCACCTGCCCAGCGTGGACCTTCCCACATCATTGAAGAATCAAGAAAAGGTCTCACAGACATGCCCACAGGTCAGTCGATACAGAAAATGCTCGACTGAGTTCCTTCTCCCCAGATGCGTCCAGTTGAAGCTGGCTGGTCTAAGAGGAACCAGCAGGGCCAGAGGACCTGACCATGGACAGTCACGGGAGGGCAGCAGCATGGCGACCACGGCACACACAGGGCTCACTGGTCTCTGAAACGTGGGAGCTGCTGAGACTGGGTGCCTGCGGGCACATGCAGAGCTGCCCTGCTGCCAACCACTGCTCTTACAATGAGAGGCTGCAGCAGAGGCGTGGGGCTAGGTGGGGACAGGTGAGCTCACCACAGAGCCTGGGGTCCTGGGGACCAGGAGGGGAGCCAGGCAGGGCAGGGAGGGAAGGGAGACCAGGAGGACTGGAGCAGCCAGACAAGGCCCATAGGGTCACTTGGCACTTTCAGTAAAGTGCTAAGGGCCCCAACGGGCAAACGGATAAAAACGTTAAAACTTTTTTCTGGTGGTGGGAATCAAACCCAGGGCCTCATATTTGCAAAGCAAGAGAAGAAGTGACACTAACTGCAGTTAAGTGAGAGAGACACCTGAAACCTGAGAAGTGGCGGGGAGCTGGGCTTCTCGATCTCTCCTTGACAGGAGGCATTCTTGACCTCCCTACTTACAGAACAGCTTCCTGGGACCCACGGCATCCTGCTATGCATGTGCCGCATTTCAGAGGCTGAGGGTGGCCCCACAGCAGATGCGACAGGAGAACAGATGCCAGGTAAGCTGATTAAGCTGCCGGACTGGGAGCATGCAACGAGGGGCTTGTTGGCAGCTCCCATTCTGGACTCTCGCAGCCACCAAAGCCATGCACGCTCACTACAGTTGTTTCTGAGGAATGAGGGCCCATGTGTGCAGACCCTGAGACAGAAGCTGCAAAGGTGGGAGGAAGGGGTGATGGGAAAGCCAGCTGTTCTAAGGAGAACGCCAGCCTCGGCCTGGGGAGAACTCACATCCAGAGCCCTCAAGTGACCCAAAGCAGCATTTTCATAGGCCCACGCACAGGAGCAGGCATAGGTGGTCATTCACACCAGTGAAGGGCAAGAGTCACCAAAGTGTCCTCCAAAAGGTGAGCAAAGCCAGGTGTGATGGCATACCCCTTTAATCCCAGGAAAGTGATCTCTGTTGAGTTCAGGGCCAGCCTCGTCCACACAGCGAGTTCCAGGCTAGCCAGCCTACCTAGTCAGACTGTCTCAAAAAACAAACGACAAACAAAAGGTGAACACAAATGGTGTGGTGACAAGGCAGGAGGAGAGCTGCACAAAGTGAGCGCGGGGTGCCCAGGGCTGAGGCACAGGTGCTGCTCAGATCAGCGGCTGCTGGGGCTTCAGGGCAGGTGCCGTGGCTGTCCGGAGTCTGGGATGGTGGGTATATGATGGCACCAACTCACAAGTTCAAAGGCAGTATGGTCTACACTGCAAGTTCCACGCCTCAGAAGGCTCATAAAACATGCCGGGTGTGGTGGCACACGCCTTTAGTCCCAGTGCGGGGAGGCAGAGGCAGGCCAGCCTGGTCTACATAGTGAGTTCCAGGCCAGCTGCAGCTACAGGGAGACCCTGTCTCAAAAAGGAAAAAAAAAACAAAACCAGGGCAGGAGCGACGGCTCAGTGGTGAAGGGCACTTGCTGCTCTTCCAGGAACTGGAGTTCAGTTCCTAAGACCCAGGTCAGGCAGCTCACAACCATCTGTAACCCCAGCTCCAGGGCATCTGAAAGCTCTGGGCACCTGCACTCATGTGCACATACCCCAACACAGACACATATACACATAATCAAAAGCAAAATCTTAACAACAAACCTTCACTTTGCAGCACAGTGAACTTTAATGTGCAGAACATTAAAGAAAACTTGCAGGCTGGAGGGATGCTCAGCGGTTAAGGGCATAGGCTGCTCTTGCAGAGGACCCAGGTTTGAATCCCAGCACCCACATGGTGGCTTACAACCATCTGTAACTCCAGTTCCTGGGGATCCAACTCCCTCTTCTGACCTCCGCAGCATTGCACAACATGGGTACATGTACATACATGCAGGCAACACACTCATACACATAAAATAAAAATAAATAAGTAAAACATTTAACAATAAAAACCCTCTGGGAGGCCAGGGGCCCTCGGGGTGCAATGCAGACAGACAAAGAGA